AACTCTGGGACAAAAAAAGATTTTATAAATAACTAAAGAGTGGAGATTGTTTTGGGTGCACTGCGTGGGGGTACGTAGCGTGTAATCGTCAGAGACACGTCAGTCGTGTGTGCGAGAGAGAAACAGGTATGTTTCATATATAGGAACAGGGGTGTTTCTAGCTTTTTCTGAACTTAGTGTTCCTTCTTTTGCAAAAATAAATGATCACACTAAGTCATATTAAAGTATATAAGAAGGTGTAAAGGTGCCCACAACTACAACCCCTAATTTCCTTAAGTATTAGTTACACGAATAACATTTAATCAGTAACCTAATCTGTGTATCACAATATAAACGTGACGTCACCTTATTACTTGGTGTCACTTTTGGATAACCTCCATATTAAAGGGTCCTTTTATGCTTTGGGGGGTTTTCCCTTTCCTTTTTGTGTTATATAGGTTACATGTAAGTGTTCTGCAAAAGCTAAAAACCCAGAGTTCCCTCCAGACGGAGTTTCTCTCCCACACACTCCCCCCGAACTGCCTGAAACGCCTTCATTGGACTCCTTTGTTTACTTTTGCGAAATAGTGACATCACTTCGTAGCACTCCGCTTCTATTGGCTAGCGCTCCAACACATTGTACGTGAGGCTAAGGGGCGGGACATCTCTAAGCGGTTGACCAATCACAACAGAGCCTGCCAGCTAACCAATCAGAGCATTTAATTAAATTAAAAATGAATACAAAATAAAGAATGACAGTAGCCTAAATGAAAACCAAAAATAAAGAATCAGGAAGGAGGTCTACCGATAATATATCAATCTTTATTTTAATATATATAATCCTGCTAGATATTCTGATGATTCTGATTCCAAACAATGCTTCCCTCTTTCAACAAGGTTTTTATTTGAGTTATTCTTCTAACTTCATTAAATAATAATGCAAACAAGGTACCAGAAAACAAAAATGAGTTGAAGCGGTCGGCTGGAAAGCATATCTTACATTCTGCTTCATTCAAAGACAGACAAAGTGAACCAAAACGTAATCATTTTAGAGATAATAATACATAACCACACTGAAACAGCAGACAGTCTAATCTGATATACTTCACTACATACAATATATATGACACACCTAACTTGTGTGAGAGTTAAATGTTGAATTGGGACCTATATATCCCTTCATGCACAATTTTCACATATTTTATTTATTTGACCCAGTGACCTTTATCCATGCGTTTGTCAGTGTTTTCTTATTCCCTCACTTCTGTTTCTTGTGGATGACGTCATGGGTTTTTGTGCTCAGACACTTGTGTTACTAACTTCTCTAAATCCTAATCCCTGTGTTGTGGTCATGAAATCTCTCTAACCGCCCTCTCAATCACCTGCTCACCTTTTCCCTCCCCCCCGCACTTCCTCTTCCCTTCTTCCCCGCTTTCTCTCTCCCTACTACCAGTGTGTTTAGAGGCCTAAACCTTAATCCGTAGCCTCAGTGATTTTATTACTCTAATCTGGGCTGGAATTGGCTTAACTTCTCTCAGACAGTGGCAGACAGAAGGTCAAGGACAACAACGGCAACAAGACAGCTGCAGGGAGGAGCTGAACAGGAACAGGAAGGCGTGGGAGGAAGTGGTACAGAGGAAGAGAGTTTATGGTCCGAGGAGGAAGGATGAGAGGACAGAGGTAGGAGGGGATAGATACAAAGAATAGACTTTAGGGAGTTTATCTTAAATACATTTAGTATCATCTGGTGTTTACTACGGTGGCCAACCGGTGCAAACGCCTTACAACCCAAAACACATCCATTAGGAGAAACGCGCTGCACTTTCAAATACAATGGAAATATACAAACACAAATGTGTCAAAACACATGCAAATGCAGAAACATCTTCACAAAGTTGACAACATGAGCAGCTTTTAGAAAACATTTACCAGCTTGACAAATTATGCTCAGGGTTTACTTAAAGGTGGGGTAGGTCATTTTGGAGAAACCAGCTCGTGTGCGCTAGAATTTGAAAATACACAGCCGGAAACAAATCTGCCACTTCCTTACAGAGCCCCTCCTCCAACACACACGAACGCGCACATGACCAATGAGGGCACGAGATAAGTCTGTGCACAGATGGAAGGCTGACAGGCAGGTAGGCCATCCAGTTATTTTAGCCGGGCCGGCTAAAATGATTGGTCGTACTTTTTACAGTATTACGGCTGTATTTATTGTCAAAGCACTTAAGATATTCATTGCTATCGGGATGTTAAGAGCATTCCATGGAATATAACAAAAAGTGTATCTCGAGCCGGTTTCTCAAATTTACCTACCCCACCTTTAAAGCAATGCATAAACAAACGCTTCAAATACAAAATGCTGCTAGGAGCTCAAACCACAACAGAACAGGGACACTAAAAAGTGATGCACACAGCTGGAACCGGAGTGTTGACGTTCGGGTATTATAAAGTTTGCCAACTGTCACAGAGTTGGTGTGTTTCGGTATTGTAAGTGTTTTGTTAGTTTATTGGAACTGACTAGGCTAGATACGTTGGCTAGCTATCTCACTGCAGATCTGCAATAATATGTGAATTCTAATGGAAGTGTTTTGGGCTGTGAATAAAATAGAAACATCAGTAAGGATTGCACAGTAAATAATTGTTGTGCCACTTAGTCCAATAGGAAGGACTCAAATGTGTACGCTGTAAACATGAAAGCCTGAGGGAAAAACATTAACAGTATACACCAAGCAAACGTACATGGAACTAAGGGAATACCTTTGTTTTTACCCAATATTCCCTTGAATTCTTGAAGAAAAGGTTGGTTTACTTGATGCCTCCCTGGTGAACCAATAACCAAGAAACTGAGAACCTTCTTGATGAATTGTAGTAAATACAGCAGAACTCTATCAAAACATACATTTACGAATTCTAACATGAATCTTGCGGTTTAATCCAAGATTGATTTATCCAGTCGTACTGGTCGTATTGTATGCTCAATACGTCCCAAACACATGCATGCTTGCTGTAACTTTATTATTGAATACACTTCCGCATTAACACGTCACTGACAGTAGGTAAAAGAGATTTGATATAGCTGCTGTTGTTAAATTCAGCCACAATTTATTTTTTAAATCCTACACTCACTCTGGAGGCTTCAAAGACACACTGGGTGAATAAGTCATGTACACATGTACATTTGGAGGGTGAAGTATTCCTTTAATTATTGAATGGATTGCCTCTGTTGCGACATTTGCAGATAAAACACAAAGCAAACCTCAAGTCAGTGTCAACTGTTGCCTGGCCCTTACGGCCCGTCCACACGGCGGCGTGCGTTGAAGCTTCAACGCTTCTGCCAATTCACTTTGAATGGGGTGACGTCAGGCTTTGCCGAACTGCATTGTAGCTGCATTATTTGTTAATCTGTCTAACAGAACAAATGTTTTTTGGTTTTAATCAAAACATTCTGTCCTGGCGGCCTCAGTGGCTTCTATCTGTAGCGTCCTTTATCCTGTTTTAAAATGTAGTTTTCATTATGTATTTATCAATAGTCAGTAATAGAGTGGTGCCCAAATGAGTCCTACACCCAGAAACGAGCCAGCATTTTAGCCCTTCTGGGCTCCCTTGTCTCAAAGTCCACAAGGTATATGGTGAAAACAAGCGAATGAGATTTTCACGCTTTGTTCTATGACATCAAATATGTGGTACTGGTGAACCTCTAAAGCTTTTACATGTCTTAAAATGGCGTTGTTTACAAGAGACTACTAGACGTCATCCACCAAACTTGATCTGCCTTTAGCTTGAATGTTTTGACGTGCAGCTATGCTACGGTGATGTAGTTCAGTTATACAGTAGCCTAACTTTAGCTTAAAGGGGACCTATCATGCCAAATGCACTTGTCTATGTCTTTTATACATAAATATGTGTCCCCGGTGTGTCGAGGAACTCACGCAGCGTCAGAAAATAAAACCCTTTCTCTTTTCCTCCGTACCAAAATCTTTTAAAAACGGGGGTACAACGAGCGGACACAGATTTGCTGCCGATATGACGTCAAATCGGCGGCGGACCCACAGAAAGTTGTTATCAGAAACAATGCCTGTTTTGGCATTGGCATGACGTGTTTTGGATGTAATCTCGTCTTTGTTTACATTAGCAAGCCTCGCTAACACTCAGAGCTAACCTGTACTGTAGAGCACATGTGTTTAAAAAGCAGGAAATAATCCTTGATGTGGTTTAGAACAGGATGGCGTTTTATCACAGCAGAATTTAACTTTATCTCCGGTAGAATTCTGATCAGGCATTAGCTCCGCCTCCTCTTTTTTTATTTTTTTAAGCTAAGGACCCAAAATCCGCGTTTCTCTAACAGGGCTGCAAAAGAGGGATATGAGCAGTATGAGGCATGGCTACAATGGGTGATCTGTTTGGTATTTTAAGCAAAAGACTTCACAGACATGTTTTGTATAGGTATGGCCCTACAATATATTTTTCCAATATAGCATGATAGGTCCACTTTAACTGAAGATATTGTAAATAAATGTAGTGAGTAAAAGTACAAAGTCCCATCAAATGTAAATACTCAAGTTAACTACAAGTATCTCAAAATTGTACTTACAGTAAGTATAGTACTGCAGTAAATGTACTTAGTTACTTCCCACCTCTGGCTAAGCTAACCCGCCGTCGCAATATCTTTATATTTACCATAAAGGCATGAGACAATCTTCTTATTTCTCTTTAAAAAACATGGATTAGGTGCATTTCACAAAATGTTGTGCTTTTGCTTATAGAATTTCTGACTAGTTTCAGATCCAGCCAGACATCTGAGAACCAACTGAGACAAGACACAGCAAGAAAGAAAAGGGTGAGTAATGATGAAGAAGCCACAGGTGAATGAAAACACTAGAAGCTCCTCTCTGTGCTGAGCGTGTGTCTCTTTAAGAGCTGGAGCGTGCTATTGAGCAGGAGGGAGGGGGGTTGGTTGGCTGCATTGGAACAGTCCTCTTTAACGAACAGATTTGCTGAGAGAGAAACACACACACACACACACGGATCAGGAGAGAGAGAGAGTAATACAGAGATCCAGCCATAGGAGGAGAAGAGATTGTGAGACCAAGACAGGAGGCAGGAAGGCAGGCTGTGCGTCAGCCGGCACCCCATAGGGAAACATGGACACAAGCAGGAGATGCTGAAGAGGACAGAAAACACCATAACAGGATCATATAGATGGATGTTATTTCATCAGGCGGGCAACCTGAAGGCAACCCACGCAGAGGATAAACCACTTATGGACGCAGTGGATTAAAGAAATAGAGACAGACTGAGAGAGAGAGAGAGAGAGGGAGAGGGGGAATAGAGGAGGATAAATTAATCAATTCAGTTGTTTATTTTCATTGTCTGTGTGTGCGCACTTGCTGCCAGAAAGATTGTGTGTGTGCTGGAGACTGCATTGCTACTCCCCGGCACAAACAGGACAGACAACAAAAAGAAGGCAGCCAAGCAGATTACCTTATGTGATTTCTGTCTCTTCCTCTCTCTCTATACGTGTGTGTGTTCCTTCCATGCACAACCAGGCACAGGGTGTGTGTGTGAAGGCTGAGAATAAGGAGAGGATGGTGAAGCTTGAAGTGATCTACAGATTCTAAGCCTGACTTTGAATGGTCTTCTTTTTTGTCTGATCATCAGGACCGGACTCAAAGAAAGAACTGTCTTTTTCTTCATCCCTCAACACACAGCTCAAGTTTGGGCACTGGTGTTGATCAGATGGTTTGCTTCTTTGCCGGAGAATAGGAGGATTGAAGGGCTGCCACCGGGGAGTCTTCTCGACTCTACACCCAAGAGAGGTGGGGGCATCATCAGGTAGGAGGCAGCAGAACGCGGAGGTCTGAGCACAAAGCCAGAGAGGAGTAGGAGGAAGAGTTGTGCGTGTGTGTCGTTGACTGTGTAGGCAGGCCAAGGGGCCAGCCGGGGGGCCGGAGATGGTTTTAACTCCTGCTGAGAGAGGATAATGGCAGCTCTGGGCCCACTCCCCTCCTCTCTCACCTGCATCTGCCACAGACAAGCTGAGAAGTGCTAGCCCATGCTACAACAGCTCAGCAAAAGGATGGTGTGAACAGCGTCACCCTTTCCCACCAAGCCGGGAGACCCCTGACACCCCAGTGAGGGGCCACGTTGTGTTGCTCACCTCTTTTCTCCCTGCTCTTCTTCAAACCAGCTGAAAACAAGGGGTGGCATTGCTTGATTTCTGTGGGAGTTGTCTCCCCCTCCCTCCCACTCTCTCCTCCTACTCCACACCCCTAACCTCACCCACCTCCATATTTAGCTCCATGGATTGCTTTTAGCACCAACCTGTCCGTCTTCTTTCTCCCTACGTTTTCTTTTTTTTTTCTTTTTCTTTTTGTCGAGGCTTCAGGGGAATTGCCAAGACCTGTTTCATGCATGTCCACTGGCGGCAGGTTCAACTTTGACGATGGGGGTTCATACTGCGGAGGGTGGGAGGAGGGCAAGGCGCACGGCCACGGGATCTGCACTGGACCCAAGGGCCAGGGCGAGTACTGCGGTTCCTGGGCCCATGGCTTCGAACTGCTGGGCGTCTACACCTGGCCCAGCGGGAACACCTACCAGGGCACCTGGGCTCAGGGCAAGAGACACGGCGTTGGCATTGAGAATAAAGGCCGCTGGGTGTACAAGGGCGAGTGGACGCATGGCTTTAAGGGACGCTACGGCCTGCGGGAGAGCACAGGGACGAGTGGGAAGTACGAGGGGACCTGGAACAACGGGCTGCAAGACGGATACGGAACAGAGACGTACTCAGATGGAGGTAAGATTGGGAGTTGAGACACGGGCAGATGCATTGTGGGTGTTTTGAGGGTGTATGAAAGGATGTGTGAACCAAACAGTTCTTGTCAAGAAGCAATCTTTGAGATTGATTGACAGCTGTCGTCTGTGAAAATGACTTGTCACTGGTGAATGATTGACGTGTCGATGAAGAGTTACAGAGGTGACAGGAATTTGTCTGGAGGTCTCCTCGGGTCATCCTTTAGTCTGCACACACACACACACACACACACACACACACACACACACACACACACACACACACACACACACACACACACACACACACACACACACACACACACACACACACACACACACACACACACACACACACACACACACACACACACACACACAGGCAGGGGGTTGCATCAGGACAGGCAATCATAATGATTTTCTATCTCCTCTAATTTTCTCTCATTAACTCTTCATCTTTTCCGCTCTCATTTTCTTTCCTCTCAACCCTTACCCCTAATTGTGGCTGCATGAGGACACACTGCGTTTTTTGGAGGCCTTCAATCCAGGCCAGGCAGTCTTGAGGGATGTATAAAAGGTTGGAAGGACAGAGGAGGACAGCAGCTCCAAAGTAACAAGTCCCAAGAAAACAAGTGTTTTTGGAAAAAGAGATTACAATGTTGTATCATCTTAAAGTGCATAGACGTTAAAATCCATGTCTCAAACTTGATTTCCCCACTTTAACGTACCATTCCAGCTTAATAACCCCTGCAGGCTATGCTCTAAAATATCTTGTTAAATATACCACATTAGAAAGATAGACACTTCACTAGCATTGTAGGAGGGACCTCCAAACGAATGAAGTTGTACTTATTGACCAGACCAAAAAATACTAAGGCATTTCAACAAGCCAAGATTTAGTTGGTTGTAATCGGAGTCTGGTGCGGTTTGTTTGGGCAAAAAACGAATGCAGCAATCGTACCCTCGTGCGGTCTATAACAACTTGTCAAAGTACACTTGCGAGAGGGGTTTTGGAATGTTTCCAAGTGGACCACCCTGGTACGTTTCAAATTGAACGAGAAGAACATGTTGACTTTTTGGGAGAAAGTGAATCAATCATTGTTGTGTGTTCGCATCAGGCCTAACTTCGATACACTTAATGGATATTTTGGCCTAATCAGAGGCGTTGGTTATGAACACTCTGAAACGTGTTGGGTAGAAACACCCAAAGCACGATTACTGCCAGTATCGACAACAGAATCAGTGGTTCGTTCTGCTCCGTGATCCACTGGTACTGCTTTCTCCATCATTTTTTATTTTAGTGAAAGGCTGAATGTAAAGTGATTTGAAGGGTTCTTAAAGACTGGACAAAGCGTTATATATAAATACAGCCTATTTAACATTTACCATTATATCAACCAACTGGCATGGTCAACCCTGAAGCTATGCCAATTAAGCCAAAAACAGTATATTTTGGACGACATGGCGACATTTTTTAATTTCAATACTGCATTTTTACACTGGCTATATATATATCTATCTTTTAAGCAAAAGTTAATCTTAATTAAGTGTTAGCCACTTTAATGCATGTAATACTGTATATTTGAAACTATACATTTTTCTTTTATATGATATGAAAAATAATAATTATGAGAAAAAATGTACAAACCTCTTCCTTAATTATTTACAATATATATACACATATTTCAAAAATACCTTTCGTTTGTAGAATATCAATTGAATCATCAGATTTGCCCTGAAATTGAAATCAATGCACTTTGAGTCTCTTAGACCGAGGCTCGGGTCAGTCACTGTTAATGAGACACCCCACACCATATGGATTCCTGTTTAAAAATAGATATACACACACATACACACACACAGGACCCTGCATGGCCATTGTGCGTGCAAAGATGCACACACACAAAAAATCTGGTGTTGAGCAACAGAGCTGAGAGTGTAGCATCCATGCATGTTAAAGCTTTGTTGCATAACTCTACAACAAGGAGGCCTGGAACACACACACACACACACACACACACACACACACACACACACACACACACACACACACACACACACACACACACACACACACACACACACACACACACACACACACACACACACACACACACACACCAAGTCGCACACTGATCAAATCTGCAGACCAGACTGATTTGAAGGAGTTGAATCAGGACAAAGGAGAAGGAGGCGGCCTGTCAGATAACCAGACAGATGGGAGGGTTGGACGGAAGGAGGGCTGGAGGGCTGGAGGAATAGATGGACCGACAGATGTACAGATTGATGTATCAGTTAATTGATGAACTGATAATGGAAAGATGGCTGCTTGGAATGACGGAAGACTATCATGATTACTAGGAGAGATACTATAATGAAGGGGAGAATGAGATCATTACAGTAATAAAGGATAGGATAGGAAAACCGCCCAAAGAGGAACGTGTTGGAGAGAGCTCAGTGAAGTATTTGAACCCACATACTGTAAATGCAGCAGAGATTGGCCTAGTTCTGAGTGTTTATCTAGCTCCAACAGTACACAGTGTTCTTATTATAACAGCATGTATTTGTCCTTGATTTAATCTAGGAGGTAGAATAACATGTTTTTATAGAAAGGATTGATGATCGAGGTTGATCATAACACAACGAAATTCAACCGAGAGATAATAAGAAACATTGCTATATGGTTGACCTACTCAACTAACATGATTTTCACATGGCCTTACTGAGTCATCTTCACATTGTGTCGCTCAGCTTGATACTGTGTCTGCACATTAGGCGAGACAAAGATACAAGAGTTGTCTCAGGCGTTCACACAGGTAAAGACAACGATTATATCTTTTGAATGGGCTAGTGCTACAGAAACTTTAATAACATTGAAGAGAGACATTGGTCCTTATGCAAGATCGATAAACGTACAAATTCTTATTTGTATTAGTCTAACAATGTACGATTGCTCAAGGGCAAACTTACTAAGGTCGGAAATCGGAAATAAGAAATCCTTTATTCTTTTCATAGTGGGGAAACTTACAGCAAAGGTAAAGTGCAGATAAATGCTAAAGTAAAAACAGTATTCTATTCAGCACACCTGGGTAGGAGCAGATTTGGAAAATTATGAACTTTTAGTGCATCTAGAACTGACTTATATATCAAATCAAATCAAATCAAATCGAAGTTTATTTATAAAGCACATTTAAAAGCGAATTTTGGTCGGGCCAAAGTGCTGTACATGTAATAACTACAATCACATAAAAACACATTTCTACAATCACAATAAAAGACAATGTATGTATGTTTTTACATAGCAGTAATTTAAGAGAGAATTTTAGAGAAAAATAACTTTTAAATTACATTAATTAGGAAGAGTAGTTTTAGATTCAACAGATTGGACTTGTTGTACCTTGGTGTGATCTTGTTGGAAAGAGCCATTTGTGCATCTAGAAGGAAAGTTTGGATTGTTCAAAGTGGGGTTTTATGAGGAACTTATCCAAAGCTGGTGTATTACTTACATTGGCAGCGTCCGGCAAGCCTTGAGTTTGGAGAAACAGGCAGGAATAGCATCACAGATTTGAAAAACAATGTTGTGTCGTGCACGGGGCGCCAGATTTCCTATGGGGGAAGATAAGTCATTATATCCATCTGTGCTCTGTTCAAAGCTCCCATATTTCTTTGACAAAACTATAATTGTACTCAGCCTGAGTGTTCTGGGGCAGCATAGACAGGTCTTCTCTGTGTTAGAGTTTTACTCTCTACAGGGTGTACTTTGAGGGTTTGTGACTCTGCAGACCGTTTACATGCAGAAAAACCTTCATAGCACACAAGGGGACGGGTAATAACCGGAAAAGCATGTCATGGGACCTTTAAGGTAAACAATTCTACTTCTATGGCCACTTTATTAAACGAAAGAGTATTTCGACCGTTATTATAAATGTTACATGTATTTTTTAATTATCATCTTACAGCACACATGTCAGCCTTTGTGATTTATTACAGTGTACTGGACCTCAATTATGCATAAATGACAGAGGATAATCCTCAAGACTTTTTAATTGTAAAATCAAAACCCTAACCCTTTAAAGGGGCCCTATTATGCTAATTTTTAGGTTTCATATTTGTATTTAGTTTCTTCACCTGTGACATGTTTACATACTTTAACATTCACAAAGTGCTTTTTTTCTCATACTGCCTGGTTGGTCAACATCTCAACCAATCAAACTGCTTGGGAGAGAAACTCCCTCTGGAGGGAATTTGGGATTTAAGCCTTTGCAGACCATTTACATGCACACAAACCTATATAACACACTACAGAAAAGGGAAAACTCCAAAAAGCATAATAGGGCCCCTTTAACAAGTGATTTGAACATGTACAAGTTCCTTTGGCATCGCAAAATAAAGTGACCATAGGTCGTATGTCTTTACGTTGTCTTCTGATTTGGCCAAACGCAGGTCGCTCTGAGATTGAAGCTGAAAACCCTGAGGCTCCGTCATGTCCGAAGCAATAAGAGTGAGGAGCCAAGATGCTCCGCTGCCTACATACTTTTGGAACACGCTGTGCACTTCAGAGCCAGCTATGTTTCCCACAGTCAGGTCTAACTCACTGCCAGTCCCACTCTGTCCTCCAACTACACCTGATGCCACATCTCCAGGAATCACTCCTCTAGCTTAACTCTGCTGTTTGCCAACATTCCTTTATCTCCTCTCCTCCCACCTCTCTCTATCCTCCCTCGCTCCACTGCATTTCCACGGAGCCGATCGGTACAGTAGGGTTTCCATAGCAACGCTCACCGACATGCAGCAGGTCAGCGTGTCACGAGGGACTGAGTGTTCGTCGCCGCTATTGGCCGCCCAGCCGGCTCTACCAGGCTCTGATTGGCTGGCTCGGCCTTCCGGGCTAATGGTGTTTACTGAGATGAAGAGCTAAGCTGACTGATTACCGACCACACACACACACACACACACACGCACACGCACACGCACACGCACACGCACACGCACACGCACACGCAC